AAATTTTAACCTTATTATCTACTAAAAAGCGTTCGTTTTTATATCTAGGCCGAAGAGCTTCCCAAGCCAAATCGAAATTATTGTCGCTCAAAGGATATTTTTTGACAATAGCTCCGGCTTTTCCTTGTGTTTTATACCTAAGGTGGTATAGTTTTTGAGCACGAGAGAGCTTCGGGTGGTTAATGTTCAAGGCTGTGAACATGTTACAGAAAGCCGGCCATTCTTCATAACCCCCATAAAATATCTCTGTGTCACAAGGAGGAACTTGTAAGAAGAAATTGGGACCATTTGATTGCTCTGAAGTGGGTTCCAAACGGGATGGTGGATTCAGAGCATCGACTAGTCTGAGCACTTTTAGCTGGTCCGACATCTTGATTTGAGTAATTTCGTAAATGTCAAGACATGCATCATACTTGCCTTGAGCTGATTCTTTGAACTTGTCAGGCAGCTTTTAGTCATATAAAATAGTCATTTAGACTTTTGTGTTTGTCTTCGAGATACGATTCGGAATGATCTTCAATTGGGGAATAACCAAATCTTGCACAGTATCTCATTAGGCTGTCACTTTCTGTTATAAATTTTTGCGCACAGGGGTCGTACGCCTTAGTTCTTGAGCGCGTTTGTGAGGATTCCCTCTTTGCACTTGCGGAATCTAGCGAAGTAGCCTTCGCTTTACCCTCAGTACCTGACATCTTGGCAAGTTTCGTTTCTTGCTCTAGAGATTTTTTGGACTGTGTCCAACTGGCATTGAGGGATTTTGGGAAAAAAACCTTTTTAAGGCCTAAAAAAATTAATAACGCAAAAAACTTTTTTTGAACTACCCACCCAGCAGATAGTGAAATCAATGTTTGAACTACTGCCCACAGAAAATCTATAAATTCGGAAATGAATGGTATATGTGTGAGTGTGTGCGTGTTTTTTGAAAAAATGATTGAATGGATATAATTCCAAAACTTAACTTATAGAAAATACTTAAGCTACTGTTTTGAAATAAACAAAGTATAAATCGAAAGTAAACCAAAAAAAAAATTTTTTAAGAAACTTAAAATAAAAAAAGAAATCACACACATATACATGTATTGAAATAAACGTGTTGAAATGTACGTGTAAAAACATATATATAAGTTAAATAAAATAATTCAAAGTAGATTATTATTTATTAAATATATATATATATTTACTTATGTATATATATATATAAATATGTAATATATAATATATTTTTTTTCGAAATGGCAAGATATATTAGAAAATCTATCTTGTATCTTTAGGGTTATTTATGCACGCACTCGTTTATGTGTGTATATGTGTGCAAAATGTGTAAACAAGATGCACCAGCTGTTTTGGTACAGCTCATATGAGAATAAATATATACATATAAATACATGTCGGTGTATCAATGTTAGGATTAGCAATCATAAAGAGTGTTTAAATACGAGCGTGGGAGTGTGCACAATGCTATTGAATTAGTTTGATGCTGTAAAAAGCGGATATCGCACAAAAGAGAATGGTGGATAATGGTTTTGTGAGAAGATCACTTATAATTATAACAATCTTTGTTTTTTATTGCGCTCAGTGCAAACAATTCGTGGTGAATTTTTCCGTAATATATATATGCAAATTGTTTGCTTTGATACGCTGTCGAGTTCGTTCAACTCGATAACCACTACCAAAGTTTTTGACAAGTCGTTCTTTCAAAGGTCCTTGAACTTTACATTAAAGGCACAGAGGTAACAAAATTTACATAGGTATTAAAATTTACCATTCAGTAAATTTTGTTACCATTTCGTTTTCTGAGCTCACTGTTATCCTGTACATTTTTTTACCAGCGAAATAGATGTTTGATTTTGTATTGTAAGTTTGAGAAAAAATAAAAAACCAAAATAGGTAGGCATATTTTAGGCCTGGAATTCATTGAAGATGAAGAAAAAAGTGCAAAGAGCAAATATTTATGATTTAATAAACAAACATTTTAATTTTTTTGTGCACCGTTTTCCATTTCGATGTGAATATTTTTCTTTTTAACAATAGCAATAAATAGTAATAAATAATAAATGTAATTTAACATGGACGAAAAAAGCAGTGCTGCCAAATTTTTTTCAAACATTGTAACCAGTTCACCAGAATACCAAATTCAATTTCGGGTGTTATAGAAAAGTAACAAAAATTACTTCACCGGTAACAGTGAGAATAGGTCTGTTACTGTAGAGTAAGTAGGTTTATGAGGCAATAACCAAAGAGCCTGCAATCGGAAAATTGCTAAGAGCCGTAAGTAGGCAAATTGAAAAAGAAAACTACATTTAGATGTATGTATATAGTTAAGTTTGTACCAATATGTACAATAGTTAAATATATGTATTAGCGGCAAGAATAACCGCTAATGGAATGAAGATCCGTCTTACAAAAACCTCATTGCAGAAAAAAAATGGAAACAGGCCATATAAAAATATATGTTATTTACCTTTTTTTTTGGAAAGGAAATTAAAAAGATTGCCTACTTACTACTTGGTGGCTTCTTTACTTTCCTTTTTTTTTACGTGTGCCCGCTTCTTGTGTAGGAGGGGGCCTCTGAAGTGGATTTCCTGGTACTGATGTTTTTCCGTTTCCTCCTGGGTTGCTGTTATTTGTCAGATTTTTTGGCCAAAACTTTTGATTGAAATTATTTTTGTGGCCAAAACTTTTGATTGAAATTATTTTTTTTGTTTTGTTTTTTTGTTTTATTTTTATATATTGTTTTTCCTTTTTTCTTTTCACCTTGAATGTTAGTTATTTTTTTTTGGATGTATGTGTGTGTGCACTTATATTTTTATTGGGTTATATATTATATATATTTTCGTATGTATTTCGTATGTGTGTGTATGTATGTATTTCGCAGTTTTTTTTTTTGTTTTAGTTTTTTTCCTGCACTGCACAGCAATTTAATATTTTTTTGTTTGCTTTTTGCACTGCACAGTACAAATTTGTTTTTTAAGCGATTGCACGGGGAAGCGACGGTTGTGGACTGTTTTTCTGGCTATTCAATTTTGGCCTAGAAGGACAATTTTTAACTTGCCTTAAGTTTTGTGCCAATCGGCCGAGATGAATAATAGAAATAATACTTTTCTGTTTATTTGTGTGCACAAATACTTTCACGAATTAACTTTTATTTCCGCTTTAGTTTCACTTATAAAGTTAGGTATACAACTTATGAGCTCACTAAATAGGGAGATGCCGCGATAAAAATTCGCCGTGCGCCCGCTTATTTGGTTGGATTGATTGTGTTTTAGCATACCCCTTTTTGTTAGCTCGAACCACCGCAGTTAAACGATAGTTTGGCTTACGAAGTAGGGTATACATGGAAAGAAGGATAACCGCATGAAAGGAGACAAAAACATACTTTATGTTGCGCGCTCAAACACTTTAATTTCATCCAACTCTTGGAACTTTTCTGAACCTTGAAATTTATTACAATGCATCATATACTCGTCATCTGTGTGATTTGGAATTACTTCTTTGAAGTAAGTTTTGATACAATTTCTTTTATTCCGCAAAGCGGAAAGTATAATTAAATCATCGTCTTCACTAGCTTCGGAGCTTTCGAGATTCTGATGAGGATAAAAGCGAATTATTTGAGTCTGAAGATGTAGTGAATATTTTAAAATTTTTTACTAAAATTTAATCAACTATCGTGATCTGATAATACAGAGAAATTTCATGATAACTCCCAAAAAAATGCAACACTGGGGTTCATCTCTCAACTGAGTTCATTTTATGTATATGTCAAGCAGAAGCATTATAATATTTCGCAAAGATTACGAGAGGCCTTTTCTATTTAACTCTCGAAGTGGAAACATCGCCATTTTATAAAACAGGTCGAAGACTATTTTGTGTCTAAGAGTGAGTTACACCATCATCTTACCAGGACCACGTGGAACGCTCACCTTGGTTCGCCACGATCAGCGAATCTGGCCTTTGCATTTCATCACCAGCTCTATGAAGCTCTTAAGAATCCATACTTTTGCAACATTTCATCGTAGATTCGGAGGATTTCATCTATCACGCCTTTAAGATATAACTGTATATCTCTTCTACTAACCAGTTGATCGAGTAGCTTTGTTTTTTTTTTTTTGTTCTTTAGTTTTCTTCACAGTATGTCCCGATCATACAGGGGATTTTCTTTTGTTTGTATGATTGGCCTTGGTCCATTTAATTTTAGAGCAGGTGTTGTATTCAATTTATTTATTTTGTTGTGAAACAAGGGAGTCTGTAATATTTGTTTATGTGCTTATGTGCAAATAGTGGAAGTTGAAGTGTCAAGAGTCCCCCCACCCCGACTGCTAGCTAGCGTTTCAAAGGCTCCCGCTCGACTCTTCTTCTATTCCTATCGAACCCGGTTTTCATTAACCACGCATGCTGCAAACTATTTTACCATTGTACATTACATTAATAATTCCGCCCCTTACTACCATAGTATTGACTAATTTTTATCTTAAGTAAAGCTCAAAGCTTTTAATAAAGTTCATCTTGTAGTAATTCAATAAATGTCCAACATTTCTGGATTTTCGATTACTTGGCATTTGTGGACCGAGTAGATTTCGACCGAAATGCTCTGGATTTAATCTTTGATTTTTGCAAATGATTCTTTTATTTAATTTCGTTTCTCTTACGCATTTGGAGCTAAGCAGAAATATTAAGTTATTCTGTAGTTTTCTAGGATAACGCAATTTTGGCATTTGCCTATTTGGGTCCGAGACCGCAACGTAAATAGTAACTGTGTAAAAACCCGATGTGGTTGTTAAAGAAACCATCAATAGCCTGTATTAGATTCCTGCTACTAATCTACAACGTGTTAGTCAAACGCTAACCTATTCCAACATCACATATCGCAGTAAATGTAAAAATAAGCTATCGAGTGTAAACCATCCAAATATTTTTAAATATCCGAGATTTCCTTTTTTTTTTATTGTTTTTTTCTTTTTAATTTTTTTTTTACTTTCCTTTGGAGCTACTAATATGAAAATGCCACTCAGCCATAGTAACGAGAATTTAGCTGCGGGAACTGGAGAAGATTCAAATGAACGCTGCTCCATTTGTAAACAACAGTTGTCATCCAACCAGGACTGACTTATACGAACTGTAATCATACTTTTCACAAAACCTGTCTTCAGAATTCTTTCATCTTTAATTCAAGATCTGCCAGGAAACCTTAATTTAACCTTACCAGACATTGATTCATTGCCTTTGCACACCACTGGCCAAGAACGTCACAGCTTAAACGCCTTACCGCGAACTTTCGAAGCCAATTCCAACATGCCTCCACCAAGCAATAATAACATTGATTATTATATCGTCGCAAATATGATTGAGACCAGTATTCAATGAATGCTTTCTAACATAAATTTCCGGCCAGATGCAGGAGGGGAAACCAATACTCCGCAGAACGATAGCGAAGCTCGAAGAAATTCACTACCAGGACATCTAAGCAACAATCTAAATACTAGCCATTTTTCGACCTTGAGTCCAGAAAAAATTACTTCAAATACAAACGGCTTAAGTGTGGAAGAATTTTTGTAAAGAGTTCGCTCATTAACGGCATCCACCCTTGACAATGATTTTTCACTATTTCGAAATAACGTCCATTCTATTCTTATTGGAAAAGCCAGAGATTGGTACTGGCAATTCCACAAACAACCACCCGATTTCGATTGGACCGACTTTTGTATTGCCATTCGCCACCGTTACAAAGATTATAAATCAGATTACGATATACGCGAGGAAATTCGAAACCGAAAACAAAAGCCAGGTGAATCATTTGAAACGTTTTATGATTCTATAACAACTATTATTGCTCGTTTATCTGAGCCAATGCAGGACTTTGGCCTTACTGAAACTATTACACGAAACCTTCGCCCGGACGTTAGACACGAATTGCTCTATGTGAATATTCGATCAATTACACATTTAAGGAAATTATGTCAGATGCGTGAAAATTTATTAGCAGAAGAAGCTTCGAAACGACTGCACTTGTCTCGTCAAGCATCTAATACAGGTTACCGCCGTAATATCGCTGAATTACAAGCAACAGACGGATGTGATAATGACGACGAAATAGATACTGAATTTCCTCGGACGATAGATGCTGTACGTAAATCCGAAATTAGATGTTGGAATTGCAATGAACAAGGTCACTCTTGGCAAGAATGCATAGGTGAACGCACTATATTTTGCTATGGATGTGGGGATAAAAATGTTTATAAACCACAGTGTACAAAATGTAATCCAAACCGATCGGAAAACCCGAGAAGGGGTCCGTTCACAAATATTCGAATGGGACCCTGAATCAAAGAAAGATAGAAAATAATGATCGAAATAAGCAAATTTCAATTAAGTTTTTAGAAAATAATTGTAGAATTAAACAAGGACCTATTTTATATCCCACACGTCCTTTTCATGAACGTATGCGCGAGTATGTAGCAATAAAAGAGAGAATTTTTAACGAGCATCCTTCATTCACATCTTATACAACAAAACGTAAACGCTCAACGTTACGAATGCGTTTATTTTGGAAGGCGATCAAACAGCCCAAAAAGCAATTAGTATCTTCGATCCTCAATAGCAAAGTTGAAATGCGAAAATAAATTTTTTGAATTTCTCACAACTCGGATTATTTGACACTGGAGCGAATGTTAGCTGCTTCAACATTATTGCTGATCTTCGTGAAGGCCTTCGACGATCATCATGCCATAAGTGGAAAATGTAAGTGCACTTCTATAATATTTGCACGAATTATTATACCAATTTTTTTCATATACGTTTTGTATTAATCTTTTGTATGAGAGAATTGAATTTTATTACCTTACAGTAATTACATTCATTGACTCTCCTGCTTGCTTATTCGCAGCAGAGGATGCTCACCGATCGGCTGATCTTTTAGTTTAGCTACATCGGCTCACCTCACCTGTGAAGGAGCGGGTAGAGTAAATATGTAAAAGCACAACTGATCTGCAAATTACAGAGAGTGCTTAGGGTTGCCATGCATCGTAAGTAAACTTCCCCTGTACTGAATTTATGGCTATTTTTTTATTAGTTTTCTTTAACATTACCCATGTTATTGTTTTTTGTGTTATTTTGAAACAGTACATTTGCATAAATTAGTTTTCTTTTCTAGTGATCTAAAGCTCAAAATGTATATTTTTATGATGTTTTATTCCAGTAGTCTACTTTGAGTTTTCCTATACCTTTTCCCATTTCGAGTAGCTTTGTTTTTTTTGTTCCTTAGTTTTCTTCACAGTATGTCCCGATCATACAGGGGATTTTATTTTGTTTGTATGATTGGCTTTGGTCCATTTAATTTTAGAGCAGGTGTTGTATTCAATTTATTTATTTTGTTGTGAAACAAGGGAGTCTATAATAATCGTTTATGTGCTTATGTTCAGTGGAAGTTGAAGTGTCAAGAATCCCCCCGTCCCGACTGCTAGCTAGCGTTTCAAAGGCTCCCGCTCGACTCTTCTTCTATTCCTCTCGAACCCGGTTTTCATTAACCACGCATGCTGCAAACTATTTTACCATTGTACATTACATAAATTATTTGGCGCCCAACGTGGGGCGAGATACTGCCTGATTTACTGCCCCGCCCCTTACTACCATAGTATTGCCTAATTTTTATCTTAAGTAAAGCTCAAAGCTTTCAATAAAGTTCATCTTGTAGTAATTCAATAAATGTCCAACATTTCTGGATTTTCGATTACTTGGCATTTATGGACCGAGTAGATTTCGACCGAAATGCTCTGGATTTAATCTTTGATTTTTGCAAATGATTCTTTTGTTTAATTTCGTTTCTCTTACGCATTTGGAGCTAAGCAGAAATATTAAGTTATTCTGTAGTTTTCTAGGATAACGCAATTTTGGCCATTTGCCTATTTGGGTCCGAGACCGCAACGTAAATAGTAACTGTGTAAAAACCCGATGTGGTTGTTAAAGAAACCAGCAATAGCCTGTATTAGATTCCTGCTACTAATCTACAACGTGTTAGTCAAACGCTAACCTATTCCAACATCACATATCGCAGTAAATGTAAAAATANTGGCAAGAATGCATAGGTGAACGCACCATATTTTGCTATGGATGTGGGGATAAAAATGTTTATAAACCACAGTGTACAAAATGTAATCCAAATCGATCGGAAAACCCGAGAAGGGGTCCGTTCACAAATATTCGAATGGGACCCTGAATCAAAGAAAGATAGAAAATAATGATCGAAATAAGCAAATTTCAATTAAGTTTTTAGAAAATAATTGTAGAATCAAACAAGGACCTATTTTATATCCCACACGTCCTTTTCATGAACGTATGCGCGAGTATGTAGCAATAAAAGAGAGAATTTTTAACGAGCATCCTTCATTCACATCTTATACAACAAAACGTAAACGCTCAACGTTACGAATGCGTTTATTTTGGAAGGCGATCAAACAGCCCAAAAAGCAATTAGTATCTTCGATCCTCAATAGCAAAGTTGAAATGCGAAAATAAATTTTTTGAACTTCTCACAACTCGGATTATTAGACACTGGAGCGAATGTTAGCTGCATAGGGGGAGCACTAGCTAAACAAGATTTTTCTAAATACACCAAATTTTACAAAGCCAGATCGTCAGTTAAAACAGCGGATGGTAAACTTCAACAAGTATTGGGGTGGATAAAAGCTGACGTTGAATTTAAGAATGAAATACACAAGATTAAATTTTTCATTATTCCGTCAATTGCAAATGAGCTTATTCTTGGACTAGATTTTTGGAAAGCTTTTAAACTTGCACCTAACGTGATTTCTTCGGTATAGACAAATACTGATCAAGAACAAGCGAACACGAGGAAAATACGTATTTTTATCCCCTCGATGCAAAACAATTGCGGCAACTAGAAGTTGTTAAAGCTTTGTTTCCGAATTTTGATATACAAGGTTTAGGTCGAACTACGTTGATCAAACACACAATAGAAGTAAGTGGTGCAAAAACATTTAAACAACGTTTTTATCCTGTGTCTCCCGCAATTGAAAATCTTATGTTTAAAGAGATAGGTAGAAAGTTAGAGTTTGGTGTGATTGAGCCTTCCACTAGCCCATGGAGCTCTCCTATGAGACTCGTGGTAAAGCCAAATAAAGTTAGACTATGTTTGGATGCACGGCGTTTGAATGAGGTTACGATCAAAGATGCTTACCAGCTTCATAGTGTGAACCATATATTTGCTCGTCTTCCTAAAACCAATCTAATATCTAATATTGATCTGAAAGACGCGTTTTGGCAAATAGCGTTAACGGAAGAGTCAAAACCTTTAACAGCCTTCACGGTGCCAGGACGACCGTTGTATCAATTTAAGGTTATGCCTTTCGGGTTGTGTAATGCACCGCAGACAATGTGTCACCTAATGGATGAGCTGATCCCATCTGATCTACGCCATTGCGTTTTTGGTTACCTCGATGATTTATGTGTTGTGTCAGACAACTTCGACACACATCTCACTATTTTAGTTATAATTGCAGAACAATTTAAAATAGCAAATTTGACTCTGAATTTAAAGAAAAGCCAATTCTGTGTCAGGCAAGTAAAGTACCTTGGGTACGTCATGGGAAATGGGGGTATCGTACCGATCCAGAAACAATTGACTCAATCTTGTCTTGGCCAGTACCCAAAAACTTAAAGCAAGTGCATGGTTTTCTGGGACTTGCAGGCTGGTACAGAAGGTTTATTGAAAACTTTGATGACATAACTTTTCCAATAACAGAAACATTGTCAACTAAAAGAAAATTTGATTGGACTGAAAACGCGCAACAGACGCTTAAAGCCAAGTTAAGTTCAGAACCGGTACTTGTGAACCCCGATTTCAGCAAAAAATTTTATCTGCATTGTGATGCAAGTAATTTCGGCATTGGTGCAGTTCTTGTTCAATTGACTGACGATGGCCAAGAACGACCGGTTGCTTTTATGTCTAAAAAGTTGAATTCCACTCAGCGAAACTACAGCGTGAGTGTCTTGCCGCAATTGAAGCCATTAAGAAGTTTAGGTGTTATATAGAATTGCAGGAGCTTGAAATTATTACGGACCATTCGAGTCTGGTGTGGCTCATGCGTCAATCGGACTTGACAGGAAGGTTCGCCAGATGGGCATTAAAATTACAATCTTATAAGCTTTCCATCAGCCATCGCAAGGGAAAAGACCACCTTGTTCTGGACGCGTTATCGAGGATGTTTTGTAATTCCGTTTCCTTAGCGGAAGATGTAGGTCCAGAAATTGATTTAAATTCAAAACATTTCCATGATGATGATTATAAAGCTCTGGAGGATATGATAACAATTAATGCTGAAAAGTATCCTGATGTGTAAATCGTTGATAGTTACATCTACATTAGGAGAGAACATTATACGGGTGAAAAAGAGCAAGAACAACAAGCCTGGAAATTATGGATTCCTCTTAATCTGCGTAAGGATATTCTATCACGGGCACATGACGCATGGCAAAAACGTTAAGCCTTCTTAGAAGAAATTTCTACTGGCCAGGAATGGTATGTGATGTTCGTAACTATGTTCGTAATTGTGAAGTATGCAAAACCACTAAAGCACCAAACGTGTCCTTAAAACCACCCATGGGAAACAAAGCTGAATCCTACAGACCATTTCAACGACTATATGTAGATTTAATAGGCCCGTATCCACGAAGTAAACAGGGGCATATCGGCCTATTAATTGTTCTTGACCACCTAAGTAAATTTCACTGGCTGTGTCCTCTGCGTAAGTTCACTACAGAGCCAATAACTAAATTTCTATTGAAGGATATTTTTCACGTTTATGGAGTTCCCGAAGTGCTCATTAGTGACAATGGTTCCCAGTTTAAATCTAATGATTTTAATGCGTTCTTTAATCATATGTATACAGCATTATATTCCCCTCATCTAAATGCCTCGCTCATTGATAGCTGCAGTTCGAGCTTAGTTCCATCAGCTGTGCATTGCGAAATGCAATCGATCAATCTATAAGCTGCTCTCCTTATCATGCTCTTTTTGGGTTTGATATGATCACGCAGGGATCGACTTTTAAACTTTTACAAAATTTAGAACTTTTAGATGAATCAACTTGTGGACTCCATAGAGATGATCAACTAGTTTTGCTTAGAGAAGATATACGAAAAAAGATGAATAAAGCTCATGCAGAAAATACAAGGACCTATAATCTTCGAACCAGACCAGTTACGTTTAAAATCGGGGAAGAAGTTTTAAGGAGAAACTTTGCTCAAAGCAATTTTGGTAAACATTTTAATGCTAAATTAAGTCCGCTTTTTATTAAGGCAAAAATTCGTGAAAAACTAGGAAACCATTATTATGTTTTAGAGGACATGCAAGGAGAATTGGTCGGTACTTTTCACGCGAAAGACATAAGAGTATGAATGTTCTGTTCCAACTAATACTACCGATAAAATCGGTTATGTAGTGGCCTTTGCATTTCATCACCAGCTCTATAGAGCTCTTCAGAATCCAAACTTTTGCAATATTTCATCGTAGATTCGGAAAAATTCACGTGTGAAAATGGTCAGACACATCGTTAAAATACTTGGAGATCTCCATTTAATATAATAATACAACTTTCTGGACAACTACAGTTGCAATATTGTCCTCTTTAAAGCTTAAAGCAGAAGTATGGCCTAAATTAATATTAAAAAGAACTTTTGTCTTAATTAATTGGCCATTTATACCAAAAATTTATGAGCGTGTAGTGAATATTTGACAAATGGTATTAATCCAAAGAAAATTATAATATGTGAATTATCCTTTAAAACGTACCAAAAGTAAGCCTAAATGAAGTTATAGATGTGTAACGTACAGGTATTATTTAAATATAAGTTTGTTATAAATTAAGCTTGGTAAAGAGATTAAGAATATTTCAATAATAATAATACTGCCCATTTAATTATGCTATAGAAAAGAAAAGAACACACGTGTATGGCAACTTAATGCATTCAGGGTATGCAGTTTCTCATACATATGTACATATTTCATAACACTGTAATGATCATTTAATTAGCTGCTTCAACATTATTGCTGATCTTCGTGAAGGCCTTCGACGATCATCATGCCATAAGCGGAAAATGTAAGTGCACTTTTATAATATTTATACGAAATATTATACCAATTTTTTTCATATACGTTTTGTATTAATATTTTGTATGAGAGAATTGAATTTTATTACCTTACAGTAATTACATTCATTGACTCTCCTGCTTGCTTATTCGCAGCAGAGGATGCTCACCGATCGGCTGATCTTTTAGTTTAGCTACATAGGCTCACCTCACCTGTGAAGGAGCGGGTAGAGTAAATACGTAAAAGCACAACTGATCTGCAAATTACAGAGAGTGCCTAGGGTTGCCATGCATCTTAAGTAAATTTCACCTGTACTGAATTTCTAGTTATTTTTTTTATTAGTTTTCTTTAACATAACCTTGTTATTGTTTTTTGTGATATTTTGAAACAGTACATTTGCATAAATTAGTTTTCTTTTCTAGTAATCTAAAGCTCAAAATGTATATTTTTAAGATGTTTTATTGAAGTAGTCTACTTTGAATTTTCCTATACCTTTTCCCGTTTTGTAAAAAATATTAAGAATGTGAATAAAATTTTAAATTTCAAATATGAATTCTTAAATTAAGAATTTTACTGTGATATGGTGGAATATGGTTAAGTAGAAGATTAGGGACTGTGGATACTATTTTCGCGCATCGCAAAGTCAAGGTAGGGTGGGTTAAAGAAGCGCATATCTTAATAACGCCTTTAAGATATAACTGTATATCTCTTCTACTAACCAGTTGATCGAGTAGCTTTGTTTTTTTTTGTTCTTTAGTTTTCTTCACAGTATGTCCCGATCATACAGGGGATTTTCTTTTGTTTGTATGATTGGCCTTGGTCCATTTAATTTTAGAGCAGGTGTTGTATTCAATTTATTTATTTTGTTGTGAAACAAGGGAGTCTATAATAATCGTTTATGTGCTTATGTGCAAATAGTGGAAGTTGAAGTGTCAAGAGTCCCCCCACCCCGACTGCTAGCTAGCATTTCAAAGGCTCCCGCTCGACTCTTCTTCTATTCCTATCGAACCCGGTTTTCATTAACCATGCAAGCTGCAAGCTATTTTACCATTGTACATTACAAAGAATCTAAATATTCTTTCATGATTTCGGTGACAATATATTTATCCATTTTATATTTTGCAAAAATCGTATATGTACATAAATTCATATATATAAAACATTTGATATTTGTCAAATGAAAATTCAAACATTCAACTGTTTTGAGAATTTCCACCTAGAAAGTGTTATATGAGACTTCTGCTCCAAATTGCTTTAACTTACTCTTCAGTTTTTTGACATCTGCTCTATTCTATCATAAATTACTCTGCTCTACTCTTTCTTCAGTCTCAATAAACAGACCTTATATTTGTTCCACAATGCAGATGCTTCAGACAGAAAACACGTTGTTAACATTATTGAAAATAATTTACGAATTAGGTGCAGTGCTGCATCTGCAAGTGGGAGATCCCAGTGATTATCATCTTCCAAGGAATGTAACTCACGAGAGGCATCAAAGAAAGTACATACAGTATCATTGACTGTTCGCAAAGATTGGTAGGCTGTCGGCCCAGGGACGTTTATTAATAACAAATGTAGATAAAAGCATTCACGTTGCTTGGGATGAACTGTGTATAGTCGGCCTATGATTTTGCCATGAATATATCAGGACATCCTGGGACTGAAATGCCTCATTATCATAATTCCCAACTTTTTGATTGTTTATTCCATGCGAAATACTTAGGAA